CTTTAAGTGAACAGGGTCCAAAAACCCTCCTGTGTTCAGCGAGAAACATTCTGCTGTTGGGGCACTTGGGTGGCTCAGATGGTTAAGCATCTGCCTTCAGCTCAGGTCATGGTCCCAGGGTCCTGGGATCAAGCCCCACATTGAGCCCCACATCAGGCTCCTGGCTCAGCAGGGAGCCTGCTTCTCCCTCTCCCTCTGCCTCTCCCCCTGATCATGCTGTCTCTCTCTCTCTCTGTGTGTATCTCTGTGTCTCAAATGAATAAGTAAAATCTTTAAAAAAAAATTCTACTGTTATTTACTTTGTATTTGGGGGCTTCTTTTTTTATTTTTTAAGATTTTATTTATTTATTTGACAGAGAGTACACTAGAGAAAGCACAAGCTGGGAGAGCAGCAAAGGGGGAGGGAGAAGCAGACTCCCTGCTGAGTAGGGAACCCAAAGCAGGGCTCAATCCCAGGGTCCTGGGATCATGACCTAAGCCAAAGGTAGTCGCTTAACCGACTGAGCCACTCAGGTGCCCCTGGGAGCTTCTATATCAGATTTCTTTTGACAGTTTCCAATAAGGACTCTCCACACTACCCCTAAAAGATTTAAAAGTTTACAAATTTTCCAGATTAATTTATCTCTAAATTCTTTTCAGTCTGCTAAATCTTTCAAGGGCAAATATAAGATGTTCACATGTGTATTACAGAAACATTTAAACATTTTCCAGTTTTTTTGTTCTATTATTTACTGTCTTCTCCAATTGGAGAGTTGCAAGGAAACCATGGTGGTCCCGTAACACAGCTCAGCCCAATCTGATAGCCTACTCTTTGCAGGCATACTCATCTACCAATGTATTTTTTCCTCTGAATTCTGGACCTGGTCTGAAAATTTTGCTCAGTACCAACCAATTGGCATTGGCAAGAAATGAAGCTGGTTTGCCATCCCTGTAAGTGTCTTCAGGTAAGTACATGGACTTACCTTATGCTATGTTTGATTTCTCTAATCATTCCCTCTTGGCGCTGATCTTTCCATCTGTTCTGAAGGCTGCCCTTCTGTTTGGTTATCTGCCCTTAAAGCAATTTCCCATCTAACACCTGACAGTCTGGGGTTAGAACCAGAGACAAGGGTATATATTGGTTGTAACACCAGACACCTATTAGGTCTGTCCATATGGACATTTTTCAGGAGAAAGTGTTACAAGTTAAAGAAGATAAAACAGTACGTTGTTGCTTTAAAAAAGTTTTTTTCGTCTTTTCTTAGTAAATAAGGGAAATATCTACTGAGCATCTTCTTAAAGGTTTTCAGGTACTACAAGTCTTTTATTAAGATACTCCTTGGTTAAATCTCTTTAGGCTATATTAAGATTCCCAAATACATAAGAAAACAAGTTCCTGCCACCAAATGAGGGACAAAAATGGCAAGAATTGAACAGTGAGACACTGTCAGCTGGGCTCTGGAAATCATATAAAGTCAGAAATTATTTAATCAGACTGGACAGATGTAATTGTCAAAGTGACTTTATTACTTGTCTTTAAGGTAAAAGCTTAAGTGTGTACAACTGGCAGCTTGGTTGTTGTCACCAGTGAGATATGGAGTAACAGAAAGGGAAATGTCAAGCTCAACTCTCTGACCTTCAGCCATGGATCATGCTGGAATTCCCCAGAGGACCGAAAGAACCTGTTGAAACCCTGTTGCTTTAAGGCTCTTGGTCCAGCAGGATCATGCCAAAATATATGTACGAGGATGGCTTCAAATCACAAAATCACAAAATTTGTTCCTAAATCAACCCTTCTCCATGACCACAGTCTATCTCGGATCCTTCCTTGCCAACCTCCTGCTTTCTCCTTCTGGCCTTCTATTTGCTTTAATTACATTTCCATATGTGCTGCTTGGTTTATCAGCTCCTTTAGCCTCTGATAAACTACCTTATTTCCTTGCATCCTGAATTGCCTTCCCTTCTTGGCCTCTTCCCCCTACAACAATAAAAACATTCCCTTCTTCACTTAATAAACATTGACTGGGGTCCTACTATGCACCTGCAGCAGGGCTAAATACATACTTTGGTTTAATGGAGCTTAGGCACAGCTTAGTTTTGACAAAGGGAGAAGGGCAAGGGACAAAGCATTGTCAGTCTGTCTTTAGGGGTGGAAAATAGTCAAAATAACAAACAGACCCTCAGTGCCTTGGGTAACTTGGTTTTCATAGCCCTGGACGCTGAAGAATTGAGTTCCAGACTCTTAGTGGCTAGTCCTATAAAGACAAAAGACCAAGAAAAAGCTATGGCCCCAGAGAACATCTCTTCCCCACCACTTTCACTTTCTCCTTTGAATTTGCCAGTTGTACCCTAGGGAAGGCAATGCTGAAGATGGGGACAATTTTATGACAACTTTCCCAAGAGAGAAGGGGCTTGCTGCAGCCTTGCTCTTTGGCTGGTAACTTCACTCTGTCGGAATTGAGTGCACCTGCTGGTAGGGGACTCATGTGCCCTGATGTAGGGCCTTAGATATAATTGCTCATTCTTTTTAAAGATTTTATTTATTTATTTGAGAGAGAGAGAGCACAAGTGAGAGAGAGAGAAAGGGAGAGCACAAGGTGGGGCAACAGCAGAGGGAGAAGCAGACTGCCCTGCTGAGCAGGGAGCCCAATGCAGGGCTTGATCCCATGACATTGGGATCATGACATGAGCCAAAGGCAGACGCTTAGCTGAATGAGCCACTCAGGTGCTCTGCTCCTTTTTTTAACTAGTCAAAATTCTGGTGCTCAGATTGAGTCACATAAGGTAAGCAGAATATTTAAATAGGACTATTGTTAGACAAGACATTTCTGCCTAGGCACGACACATATTACACTTAAATTTCACATTTTTAAAAGTCACTTGTTTATTTACAATTTAAAAAACAGTGAAAGGTTAAAATAATTAGGTCATTGTATGGAATTTTAATAGGAAAGAAAGCAATTGTAGGGTATTTATAGGTTTTGAAAAGAGAAATGATGTGAAAAATGCTCTGAAGTATTTGTATATGTATGCTTGGTATGCTTGGAGCATTTTGGTTAATTAGGACCATGGGTTCAGAAGGTGATCACCTATTCAATTTCATTATTTTATAGGAAATTGTGGCCTTCAAAGCCTTATAAGTTTATGCAACTAAGATGTGGCAAAACCAAGAGTCCAAATCTTTTGCTGCCTAGTTTATTGCTCCATATTGATAAATATGCTTTCTTGATAAAACTTCTTTGGCTTGATCCCTGCTGTTGTAAACATTTTAAAATGCTTCAGAGCATTTCTTCTTACTTAGATCATAGTGAACATAAGTGAATTTTTTTTTGAAGGTATGGACTCTCACTGTGGAATAGGGACATTTTTTGGATATTATTAATGCGCAGGAGAATTGACATAAAAGTTGAAGGAAATTGGACTAAATCTATATTGATCTAATATTATCTTTAATTTCCAAATGTCCCAAATTCCTAATATCATGTTTTCCTATAGTTTTTCCCCTTGAAAAGTAAACCTAGGAAAATATCAAGTAATGAAGGAATTTGGTTATTTTTATGTAGCTATAATCACAGAGAAGAAAGCAATATTCTTTTGGAAATTTTGCTTTTAGAGGGAAAGTACTGTAGAAAATTGTAATTAGAATAATTTTTGCATAGAGAGAGAGCTTTATCCAAAGCTCTGTGAGAACCTGACAAACCTAAATCTACAAGTAATAAAAATTCATTAGTCTGTCCAAGAATTCTGCCATTAGGCCATGTTGGAAATTTATGAGGAAATCCGGAAATTGTGTTCAGTTCAAAGTAAACAATGCCAGAAGAAGAACTGTGTTATATATCCAGAGAATAAATATTTCTTTGGGAATACAGAATTTTCCAAAATTCAAAGAAGGCAGAAATGGAAGGAATTGTCTTGATAACACAAGGAGCTAGTCTTCCTCATTCCTGTTAGTGAGGAATGGGAATAGCAAGATCTGGGTCAGAAAACCTCATTTTGTTTGCTCTAGTCTTTATAAGAATTGCCAGAATCAACTGATCTAATTCCCTTGTGACTATAGCTCAGTAGAGACAACTGGATTTTGTTGTTTACACCCCTAGATGCAGAATATTTTAGGGGACCTGGCACCATTCCAGAGTACAGAGACCAAAGCCAGCATTACTCAGTTAACCAAAACTGGGCTCAGGAGTGGGAAACTGGTAAGAATGTCATATATACTTTCTCATAGAAGTGACACTGACAAGGTAGCAAACAAACAGCTATAGCAATAATAAAAATAAAGACGACACAATCACACTTTATTTTATACTTATACCAACAGCATCCCCACAAAAGTAAGGGTATCTTTCAAGACGCTTCTGATTTGTTGAACTGAGTGACCACAAGTATGGTAATGATTTTTTTTAAAAAAATATTAATTGTAACTAAAAAATGTTAGCGTGCGCCCATTAAAAGTCCAGAAGCTGTCACTGTGTAGTCAAAACAGCCTTTGACTTAATCTGCCATCTTTTTGACTTGGGCCACACTTTACCTCATTTTTACTCTACACCTGAAGATACAATTGCAAATTTTTCGTGACCTTGTGTCAGGGGACTTGACTTTCTTAGAGGAGCACTACCAATGATTCAGAACCCACCCAGCAAAGCAAAGTCGATGGGCCGAGTTTGCGGACGGACGCCTGGACACCCCCGCACACCAGGGATCTCTGGAGTTCTGCTGACTTGTCTGTACGCTGCGGTGTTGGGTTCTCGCGCTGTCAGGTGCTGCCGGGGCAGGCGCAGTTATACTGCGGCGTTGAGACAGGAGTGCCGGGCGGAGGAGTAGCCGGGATCCGCCCCCTTCCCCAGGATCTCCCGGCCCGAGACCCCCGGTCGCCCCAGCTGAAGGCCGGCTACAGAGTACCCCAGGCCGCATGTTTGAAGGGGTCGCCCTCGGACAGCATCGAACCTCCGCACACCGACTTCTCGCGAGGTTTCGTTGCCCCCCACCCCCACCCCCTCCCGCCGCCTCTTAGTTCTGGTGCGGGCTGCTCCCGCAATGGCTGCACTGCGGAGGCTCCTGTGGCCGCCGCCTCGGCTCCCGCCTCCGCCCTGCCCTCATCATCCCTTTCCTGGGCCGTGGGGGCGGCCTGCGGGGGTAGCCCCGGGCCCGCCTGGCCGGCCCTTCTCCTGCCGGGAGGAGGAAGAGGGGGCTGTGGCTGAGGCGGCTTGGAGGTGGCGGAGGCGCTGGGGGGAGCTGAGCATCGCGGCAGCGGCCGGCGGGGGTCTGGTCGGCTTTGTGTGCTACCAGCTGTATGGGGACCCGCGGGCCGACTCCGCGTGGGCACCCGCCCCGGGGCGCCCCTCGGAGAGCTCGGCCGCAGAGCCGGAGGACCCGCCCCGCGGCCGGGGGCTGCTTCCCATCCCAGTCGCGGCTGCCAAGGAAACGGTAGGTGCGTGAGCGCGTGCGCGCGCTGGGACTGACCCGCAGGTGACGCCCGAGGGTAGGGCCGCCAAGGTGTTCCACCTGAGCGCCGGGAGGGAGGGTGCGACAGTCCTGCTGGGTGCACTTGGGACTGTGGGCCACCGTGACACCGGACATTGGAGGTTGTCGCAGTGTGAGGTCTGCGGTGGCAGATGGGTACCTCCCGGGAGACCGAGACCGAGACGTAGGCCAGGCAGTCCAGGCAGTCCAGGGTGTGTTCACCCAGCTGTTGGGAAGACATAGAAGATGCTGTCATTGATGCATCAGGACCTCAGAGGTTGCTGCAGGTACCACCTATTAATCAAAACCCCAAACCAAGACAAAACAAAACTAAACGACTACAAAGAAGTCAAGGGTATACCAGGAAGAAAGTGGAGGCCTGGGTATGTGAGAGATAGGAACGCCCAGGCTGGACCAGGTGACAGCAAATGATCCAGGAGGTCCAGTGCAGTAGGATGAGTTTTGAAGCAGTGGTCTGAGGTCTCAAAAGCAACGACATTATTGCATAGCACTTTATTAGTCCTAAGGGAGTAAATGCCAAAACTGTGTAACTTCCTTATTATAGGTCAGAAAGAATGAAGATATCCCCAGATTGGAAACGGAAAAAAACAAAAAATCTATTCAAAAGAGTATATCCCGTCCCACCCCACCCCCAAATCAGAAACTCTGAAGTAAGGAAAATAAGTGAGAAGATGGATAGGACAGCACATATAGGAACCTGAATGAGGCTAACTCCTACAGAAGATCTTCAGGTGGAAATGTTCAAGTATCATTATGCAACTGATAATGTAAGGTAAAGATGAGGGTAAGAGTGAGTGGGGCACGATGCTTTTGTCATATCGTTGTATTTAATAAATAGTCATGTAAATGACTAGGAGTCATTTAGGGAAATTTTCTTTGCAAGACTAAAGAGTGTGAAGAGCTTAGATGACAGTAATTTAGAAAAGAGGTAGCTATTCTGTTTTTAACTTTAATGAAATGTATAGATTCTTTATTCTTTGCCCAAATACATATTGGTGGTCTGAGGTGAGTGCATCAGTTCTTTTGGTGGAGGTCGTTGATGCATTTAAATCAGGGAATCTACTGTGCCATGGACCTTCTAGCTGCAAATTATAAATACATAGGATAAAGTACTTTTATACAATGAATACTTAAAATGCTAGCAGCAAATACCCTCAACTTTCATCTCCCACTCCTCTTCTCCCCACCCCCCCATACATTAAACTTGTGTCCCCATTGACCGAGACAGAATTTTTCATCAACCATAATTGATCTGGGAACAGATTAGGAAGGTAGAGAGCATTAAAACAGTATTTTCTTCTTTTTTTTAAATTAATTTTACTTTTTTTTTTAAGATTTCATTTATTTTATTTGAGAGAGAGAGCGCGCACACAGGCACGTGCCTGGGGGGGGCGTGCAGAGGGAGAGGCAAACTCCCCGCTGAGCAGGGAGCCCCACTTGGGGCTCCATCCCAGGACCCTGAGATCATGACCTGAGCCAAAAGCAGATGCTCAACCAACCGAGCCACCCAGATGCCCCTAAAATTAATTTTACTTTTAAAGTTGAGAAATAGTATGTAGTTTTTAAAAGACCACACTTAATAGTTTCTTCCTCATAGTTATGAAAATTAAATGAATTAATACATTTTAAATAGTTAGAATTGAGAGATCATGAGCAGTGGGGAAGGGTAGAGGGAGAAGCAGACTCCCCACCAAGCGGACTGATGCAGGACTCGATCCCATGACCCTGGGATCATGACCTGAGCTGAAGGCAGATGCTTAACTGACTGAGCCACCCAGGAGCCCTGAAAACTTTTATAATCTCTTCTTAACCTGCTATTTGAAACTCATAATAAAGAGGTTTATGTGGGCATTTTTTCATTTATTGTGCTAGGAACTTGAGGATCCTTTCAATATAGAAATTCATGTTTGAAAGTTCTGTGTGCTCTTCTTGTATTATTTCTTTGACAATTTCCCTTGCTCCATTTTCTCTGTTTTCTTTTTCTGGAACCTCTGTTAGTCTGAAGTTATGCCTCCTGACAGATCCTAATCTAATTCTAATCTCCTATTCTAACTTTTTGATCTTGCTTGTTTGCTTGTTTTTATGGGAGATATCTTTGACTTTATCTTCCAGCTGTCCTATTGAAAGTTTTATTTCAGCTATCCTAATTTTTTAACTCAAAACTATTTTTTGTTCTCTAATGTTCCTGTGGTACAGCTTTCTGTTTTTGTTTTATGGCTGCTAAATTTCTCTTTTTACTATAAGGATATTAATCATAGTTTTGTTTTGTTTTTTCATTGCCTTCCACTTCATGCATTGTGTTGTTTCTTCCAGGTTAATTTTTATTCCTGTTTGATTTTCTAAGCTCTCACTTTCATTTTGGAAGTTTTCCTCATATATCTGTGGTTGTTGCCTTTCTATATTTGAGAGCTACTCAGAAGCTATTTATACATGAGAATGGCTTTTCATTTGGTGATCTGGGTTTTTTAATAGAGTGGCATCCAAATGTCAGTGGCTTTTTTTATTTTGTTTTGTTTTGTTTTGTTTTAGAGAGGGAGGGGGGATCGGCAGAGGAAGACACAGAGAATCTTAAACAGGCTTCACGCCCAGCGAGGAGCCCAATGCAGCCCGTCTCAGTCTCACAACCCTGAGATCATTACCTGAACTGAAATCAAGAGTCAGACGCTTAACCAGTTGAGCCACCCAGGCGCCCCCAAATGTCAGTGTTTTCTAAGTCCTTTTCTCTGGTGTCACTGAGTTTCTCTACAGAATAGGAGAGGTTGGAGGAGCTGTAATCTAGATGCAGGTGCACATGCACCCATACGTGAGAGCCCGTGTTGGGGAAGTATCCAATGATGTTTTTACTGTGTTTTCAGCCCCGTCACTTACTCTGACTTCACAACTCCTTGAATTCCCAAGGTCTTAACGTTTCTGGGGTCTGTATCTCCAGTCAGCTCACTTCCATTTGGTTTCCTCCTCCTCAGTACTCAGGTATTGCCTCTGCCCCTCTACGTCAATTATCATTCATCCATCTCCAATTTTATAAAAATTTGATGAATTCTTTTGATTGTTTTAGTCTCTTTTCCTTTTTCTCTTAGTTCTTACGTGTTTCTATCTTTTTAAAAAGTTTCGTTTACTGTGATTTTAATGTGGTTAAGAGAGAAAGAGATTGAAAGAGACTCATGAGGTCAGTCTGCCATTATTCAGAAATATTTAAAGCTGTTTTGCCGCTTTACTCATTATACTCATTTGATTTTCCTGAACTGGTAGAAATTATTCCTTTTGTGATTTAAAACTATAAGAACGTTTGATTTATAAAACTTCTTTTAAGCAGCATGTTATGCTAAACATAAGCCTAGCAATAAATTAACCTGTACATGTTATGAGACTATAGAATTTAACTGATGGGCATGAATAGCAGTAGCTTACAGATATACAGTTCTATTACCATAGCCTTGAAGATTGTTTTTAAGACATTGCCTCTCAACTTCCTCCAGGAGGCTTTCCCTTACTCTATAGATATTAAAATGCCCCTGTTTATCCTATACTACTAGGTGATGACTTTTTGCAATTATTTTTTGTCTTCTCTGCTTTTTTTAGCTCTTTAAGGAGAGGCATTGTGTTGGTCGTGGTCTCCTTTATATCTTCATTGCTTGATATGGGGCCTAGCCCTGGTAGACACACAATAAATATTTGTCAATTGAATAAGCCCATGCTAAACATTTGCACAGGACATATGCACTGAAAAGGCACAACCACATTCTGTGAGAATTAATAGTTTAATATTTTGTTCAGCTAAATGCTGGTTATTTATAGCATTAGGTGTCAGAAGACTTTGGTCAAGGTCAAAATTCCAGGCTTTGGGAGACCAATCACGTGACACTATATTTATTTTAATTGTGCAAGTTTGGCTTGCCAAAACTTTTCAGTAGACATGGCCTTGAACTTTATTAATATTGTAAAGAGATGGTGACAAGATTCTGTTTAGAACCCTACAATTTTAGCCTTAAAACATTATTTTTATTACTGCGAAAAATTTTGTTCTAGGATTGCCTTTTTGTTTCAGGTTCAAGATAAAAAAATTTAGGTTGCTTAATACACTTTAATCCATATTTTACTTATTGTACAGAACACATCTATTTTATGACTTGCACATAGTTTTACTCTCAATTGGAAAAGAGAACAATATTTGTATCTCTTTGGTATAGTTCTATAATAATTGCCAATAATCATTTTTTATTTCTTTCACTGTATATCTATTCCAACCTCTTTTTAAGGCAGCACATTTTGAAACAGGAAGTTATGCTTATTCTTTCCCAGAATATCAAAGACTTTGATGAATGTGTAAATAGAGAAGATCCCTCACTTTTTATAGAGTGAGGGAAGGATCGGTTAATTCTGTGTAGAAGAACATTTTGTAGAGGAGGCTACACTAGGTGGGTGATTCCCGCTTTTTGCTTTCTGAATTACTCAGTGTCAGATCCACCAGATTCCACGCACATTTCTTCTAGTGGCCTGACCATGTTATTGATCCCCCCACATACAGTGATTTGAGTGTAGATTTTTTTTTTCTAAGTAAATCACAGAATAAAATTTGGATGAATTTGGAAAAAAAAAATATATCCTCTTTCTGATTATACCAAGCCAGGAGTTATAGAAGTGCAATACTTTTTGTCTGGGTTGCAGTGAAAGATACTTACAACATTTTATGGATGTCTTTTTATTCAGATCCACATTGGGAATCAGGAAATGAAACTGTCATGACTTTGAACTTAAATTAAAAAATCCTCATCTGTAATTCTCTTCTAAGACTTGGAAATTGTCAAATAATGCACAGCAATCAGCTTGAATGAAGGTGTATACAGGTTTTTTCCCTTGATCTACATAATCTCCACTTTAAAAAAATATAATAACATTGAGTTGTATTTTGAATTGGAATTCAGGTAAATAGTATTTGGGTTTAA